CTGTCAGACCTGCTGAGCTTTTCCAGCTCCTTCTGTTTTTGTTCCTGATTTACAGCATCCACAGTTCTTTCGGTTTTTATCCCTGTAAACCATTCTGGTACCTTCTCCAAAGCCTCCACATCTTTCTGGCAGTGCAGTGACCAGAACAGTATGCAAAGTTCCAAATGTGGCCTAACTAATGTTCTATACAGCTGCAACATGATTTGTCAATTTTTATACTCTATGTCTTGACCAATGTAGACAAGCATGCTCTCTGCCTTTTGAGCACTTTATCCACTTGTGTTGCCACTTGTGGACCTCTACGCCTTGATCCCTCTGTGTGTTAATGCTTTTCAGTGCTCTGCCATTTACCATGTACTTCCCTCCTGCATTAGATCTTCCAAAATGCTTCACCTCATATTTGTTTGGACTAAACTCCATCTGCCATTTCTCTACTCAAGTCTCCAGTCTCTCTACGCCCTGATGTATCCTCTGGCAATCCTCCTCACAGCTTGCCCAATCAATTTGTCATCCGCAAACGTACTCATCAGACCACCTACATTCTCCTCCAAAACATTTATACGTATTGTAAACAACAGGAGTTGCTCCTTGTGGAACACCACTGGTCACAGATCTCCAGTCAGAAAAACACCATTCCACCGTTACTCTCTGTCTTCTGTGACCAAGCCAATTCTGTATCCACCTTGCTAGCTCACCGTGGATCCCATGTGACGTCACCTTCTGTATCAGCCTACCTTGAGGGACTTTGTCAAAGGCCTTGCTGAAGCCCATATAGATGACATCCACCACTCTGCCTTCATCAATCATCTTTGTCACTTCCTCAAAAAACTTAATCATGTTTATGGGACAAAATCTTCCCTGCCGAAAGCCATGCTGGCTATCACTAATCAGTCCATGTTTTTCCAAACGTGATTAAATCCTGTCCCGAAGAATCTTTTCCAATACCTTCTGCATCACGGACATAAGGCTCACCAGCTTGTAATTTCCTGGATTATAATGATACGTATCTGATTCTTAAGGGGCTTAACAGTGTAGCTGTGGAAATGTTGTTTCCCAATGTGGGAGAATCTAGACATAATCCCATTTCATTTAAGACATGCATGAGGAAGAATTTTTTTTTTCTCAGATGGTATTAAATCTATGCAATTCTTAATCACAGAGGGCTGTCAAGTCTGGCCCATTCAGTAAATTAGAGGCTGAGACAGACAGACTTATAATCAGGAAGTGAATCAAGAGTAATGGGGCTAAGGGAGGAAAGTGGAGTTGAGGATTATGAGATCATAATCTCATTGAATGGTAGAGAAGACTCAGAGGTTGTCAATGCTCAGACATCTTATGGTCCTGAATCAAACTATCAAAGGTAATCTGTCAGACTGGTTTGCCAAATGTCTTACTGGAATCTACACTTTCCTGGGATAACATACTGTGAAACAAACTATGAATAAAGCTATTTTCGATCTCGAATTGTCAAGTGAGAGTCAGTAAATTAGTAATCCCTGGGTAAAAGATTGTCTGGGAGAAAGTGATAGAACTGTATTGTAAGGTTCATAGTCACATATCTGAGTCCAAAACAAAAACAGGAACCTTAAAAACTAACAATTCCTAAGGCATGAAGGTGCAGCTGGCTCAAACTGATTGGACAAACAGACGAGAATTTGCTGAAAGAACTGCAGATGCTGTAAATCAGAGACAAGAATAGAAATTGCTGGAAAAGCTCTGGATACTGCCAGACCTGCTGAGCTTTTCCAGCAATTCCTATTTTTGTCTTTCAGACTGGAATTCACAGTGGTTCAAAAAAGATAGAAAATATTTAAATAAATAGTTTTTGAGAGCAAAATCTCTATTTTTCAATTCAATTCCCCTTTCAATAAACTATACCATTCTATTAGCTTTCCTGATTACCCACTGTTCCCTGTACACTAAACTGATGTGATTCATGCACCCAGATCTCTCTGCATCTCAAAGCTCTGCAACTTCCCGCCACCAAGAAAATATGCTTCCTTTCTATTCTTCCTGCTAAAATGGGCAATTGCACACTTCTCCATGTTAAGCTCCACTGGCCAGATCTTTACCCACCCACTTAACCCATCTATATGGCTCTGTAATCTCTTTATGTCCACTTCCCTACTTACTCACCGACTTATTGTTGTGTCATCAGCCAATTTAGCAACCACACCTTCAGCCCCTTCATCCAGGACATTTATATAAATTGTAGAAACCTGTGACATGCCATGATAGATAATGTCTTAATGTGAATGTTTTAAAAATGAGGCAGAGCAGTGCCTGAGATGGAAAGGAAAGGAAGCAAATTCTGCACTCTGGGTCCCACCCCAACACCTTCTTGTGGAACATTTCTTCCTCTGCGTCCAAAGGTTTGCAGATTGAAATTGGCTGTTCAGTCACGTGAGAACCCATGGCAAAAACTCACGACAATGAGTAGACTTCATTGAGGGACAGCAGACAACAATGTAGAATTAACGTTTTATCATGTAATCCTCAAACTGCTGTGTTATTTAAAATATATGATGTGGAGGTGCCAGTGTTGGACTGGGGTGGACGATGTCAGAAGTCACACAACACGAGGTTTATAGTTCAATGGGTTTATTTGAAACTATGACCTTTCGGAGTGCTGTGATGCGTGATTTTAGACCTTACTTGAAATATAAACAGTGAAGTGTAGGAAATACTTAACAGATGAGGAACATCTGCAGTGAGAGAAAAAGTTAATATTTCAGTTTGATGACCTTTCATTGGTTCTGAAACAACATAAAATGTTAATTCTGTTCCAGTTGCTGGCAGAGCTGCTGAATATTTATAGCATTTTCCATTTTTAATTTAATTTTCACAGCATTTAGCTTTTATTTTATGTGCTGTGTTCTTTCCACCAATTAATTCAAATAACCCAATAAGCGAATTTCATTTCACACCAAAGAGGCAGCTGGTATAGAAACGTAGAAACAAGGAACAGGAGTAGGCCATTCAGCCCTTCAAGCCTGGCATTCAATATGACCATGGTTGATCCTTTATCTCGGTGCCATATTTTTACTTTCTTCCCATACATTCGATGCCTCTAAAATCTCAAAATGCATCTGCCTCTTTCTTGAATATATTCAGTGGTTCGGACTCCACAACCTTCTAAGGACAAGAATTTTATTGGTTGACTGCCCTTTGAGTGGAGAAATACTTCCTCATCTCAACCCTAATTGGTCTACCCTGTATCCTGGGACTGTGTCCTCTGATTCCAGACTCCCCACCAGGGAAAACTTGTTCTCTGCATCTAATCTGTGGTCCTGTGTTAGAATTTAGTACATTTCAATCAGATCTCCTCTCATTCTTCTAACACAACTGAATATAGGCCCAACATCAAAAATCTTGAAAGGATTAAGTTCCGTAGCATGTTAATTTCAGGGATTCTTTCATTATTCTCTTACAATCATTTCTTTCTAAACTGACCAATTTTACAACCCATTCCAATTCTGTCCATGCTTTTCAAAATCTCTGAATATCAGAAGATACTGACATCTTTCCAGGGGTATGCAATGATTTCCTTACAGTTTGCAAGGCACAAGAAGTGCATGTTGTGGAAACTCTCTGGAAGTCAACTTCAGCAGTCGCTACAGAGGGAGGTAACAGTAATAGTGATATTACTGTTGGACTAGCAATCCAGACAATGTGTTATAGTTGTGTGACATGGGAGCTGGTGGTTCACAGCGACTGCTACTGTTGCAACTGTTGGTTGCCTGAGGAACTCCAGCTCAGTGTTGATGAGCAGGAGCTTTAGCTTCAAACACTGTGACACATCAGGGAGAGGGGAGAGTTACCTGGATGCTGCATTTCAGCCACACCTCTTAGATTAACTACCTCGAATTTGGTCAGTGGTCAGGAACTAGGAGGGTGTGATTCTCAACTCTGGGTTGTATGTTTAACCAACACTTCAATTTGGGGCAAGGGATTTCATTTTAATCTTTGGGCTGATGGATTTGTGGAAGTACTGGTGAGAAAACGGCACACATTTAGCATTCTGATGCAGCTTGCTTCAGTCAGATGCTGTAATATTGAGTGAACAGCGGTTCAGAGTAGGAACACAGCACGGGCATCAAAGCTAAGTAATTTTTTGGAAACTGAAACACTATTTGGCTTTTGCTTGGCCCCATAAAATAACCAAGGACTAATATTTTACCTAGGGTCTGTTCAAATGACTGGGCTCAAACTATGGCATCAAACTGATCAAACGTACGTTGAGACATTAATAATAATTTTGCCAAATTAAAATTGACTTTTATGAAAGAACATTATGATCGAATATAATAATCGAGTTCGGGACTGAGGGACTCGAGTATCGAGTGATGAAAGGCTAGGCAAAGACTTTCTCTGGTTGGATGTTAAAATAAAAACCCAACGCACAATAGTCCTGGAAGGCCTTCTCGTACTTTAGTCAAAAATGTCTCAACCAACAGTGTCACAAATGGATTAACTGCTCTTTGAACATACTGGTTATTTGTAGAACCTTGGTGCATTATAACTGCTATAAAAGAATCACACAATCCCTACAGTGTGGAAAGAGGCCATTTGGCCATCGAATCTGCACCAATTGTTTAAGAAGCATCCCATCCAAACCTAGTCCCCCAACCTGTTCCTGTAACCTCAAACCTACCATGACTAACACCCCTTCTCCCCAGCCTACACATCCCTGGTCACTACAGGACAATTTAGCATGGTCAATCCACCGAACCTGCACATCATTGGACTGTGGGAGGAAACTGGAGCATCCGGTGGAAACCCACTCAGACACACAGTCCCCCAAGTCTGGAATCAAACCTGGGTCCCTGATACTGTGAGGCAGCAATGCTAACTGCTGAGCTGCTGTGCCACAAGATACAAGCTATATTTTCATTCCCTGCAAGACTCTGTTATTTGGGAAAAGCCTCTAATATCCTGTCAATATTTATGGAACACTGTTTTCTCCTGTTTAAATGTTGTCCTTTTGTAGAGAACCATACCTGGCTTATATGCATAGTGGTATCACAGGTCAATGGTCGAGCTGATGTGAGGTCATTGGAGCCTAGCAGTGTGGAGATTATCCCATTCTGGTCCACTTTTCTGATCATGGTTCCATCCACAAAATAGATCAAACCATTCTTATCGATAGCAATTCCTGTTTAAAGAAATAAATATTGCTGTGACTTTGACATACCTCAAAACAGGAGTAAGTAATATAGGCTTTCATGACTGCTACACCAAGTACTGTTGCTGCTAAATTAGATGAGTGCCTATCAGCTACAGATCCACTGAATCAAATCAGAAGAAACAGAACACAAAAGTATCAGGTATAGTCTACTCGTTGCTCTTATTGGGTTCTGTGATTTTAAAAGGAATCTTCAGCTATTCCTCCATTCAAAATATCTGAATTATAGACATACAGGCAAGCAAAGGCTTTGTGATGTACTGAGTTTTTCTTTGAATCTCCCATTTTTATACAGACTTCTTGTGCGCCCTTTCTTTGAGTTTGCTAATATCAAACTGCTTTCATGAAAATTTCGTCCAATTATAAGACTCACTTGTAACACAGAGGGTCTCAGAGTGCTAATGTGGAATACGCAGTACGCTCGTTATAAAGCTCTCATTTATTGTACTGTCGTTGTTCTAAGTCTACTCCCACTGTGACTCCTGACTCTTCATGTTCCAGGACATTCACTACAGCACAGATCTCATTATGGCAGAGCAACGAGACTGCTTTGACTGCTACAGATTTCTTCTGATGAAATGCAGGCAAATGTATTTGCAGTGGCATTCCTCACTTTCACAAACTGATGCCTCAGATCCTGCCTCTGTTAACAACCCCTGCCAAATTCTATCACTGTCTTGAATCTCCAACTTGTAATAACTCTGCCTGCATATCAAGTGATGCTGACTCAGTTACCTACCTGGGTATACTTCAATCTGAAACAAAAGTGAACCTGAGTTTGGTTTTAGAGTTCAGAACTTTGCTATGAAGGGAAGGTTTCTAATGTGTGTGCACGATCATGTATATAGATGTGTCTGTGTGAGTATGTATGTCTGTGTGCATGTGTGTGTGCATCGTACCTTTAGGACTCATCAATGAAGCTTCCACAGCTTTGCCTCCATCTCCACAGCGAGCTTCATCAAATGGCAGACATTGTTCTCCAGTCCCTGCTACCACTTCAGAGTTTGCAGTCAGATCTTTAGCACCAACTAAGGACTTTGGATGATAGATCCTCCGTGTGTTGGTATCTGAGATGTACAGATCTCCTGTCACTGGGTCAGTTGCCAGGAAATATCTGTGTGCCGGGTTATTGCTTGGGAAAGAAGCACATTTTGTTTTTAATGAAAAGTATTTTACAAAGTTCTGAATTCAAACTGAGCAATGGCCCAAGGGTATTTACAATGGCTGCCTAAAGCAGTTGGACCTCCTCCGTGCCAGAGAACAGATGGTACGGAGTATCCCTAACCATGATTCTGTTGAACATTTTAACATCTTTTTACTGTAATAGAGGACAGAAAACTATTTAAAGAACAAGAGAAAGCCAGACTTAACCCATTCCAACGCCCACTCTGCTCGCCTAACACAGATTGAGTGTTCATTATCTTCTCACTACACAGGACTCCAGCAAAAACCCGTTAATAATAGCAGCTTAAGAACTCCCACTACTGATACTCCCACTGAGTGAATTCATTCAACAAATCATTATTTGTCTCCAGACTATTCCAATACTCTTATCCTGCCCACTAATAGTTTATATCCTCCATATCGGTGGCATATTCAGTGAAACACAGCAGGATACATAATGCCTCTTTTGGCAAAATCTTCAATCAGGTGAAGACCAAGATTAAGCATTTTATGATGAGGTTAAAGTTTAAAATAGCTGCAGATTGGACCAAAGATGTAGTAACAGAAGTAGACCATTCGGCCCATTGAGTCAGCTCCATTATTCAATGAGGTCACAGCTGATCTGATCATCCTCACTCCACTTTCCTGCCTTTTCCCCATAAACCTTGATCCCTTACTGATTAAAAATCTGTCTATCTCAGCTTTGAATATACTTAATGGCCCAGCCTTGACAGTGCTCTGCAGTAAAGAATTCTACAGATTAACTACCCTCTGAGAGAGGAAATAAAAAATCCTCCTCATCTCTGATTTAAATGGGGAAGGTGCAGTTTTTATTTCCAGTCATTGTCCCCGATTTGCTTAACAGTAAAGTTTGCCCCTAGATCTGGATGCATAGATTTTTGGGAAGAAATGTTGTTTTTCACTAACATAAAGGAAAAAGATAGTAAAGTACTGGTTTACCACATTAGCACAATCAGAACTCTCAGCATTTCAGTTACTCATGATCAGGAATTTTGCTGCTGTGGGAATTCAGCACAAGATGGGCTATTGAATTTAGTTCAGCTGAGTTGAGGCCTCGTTCCTGCAAACAAGGGAAAATCCCTTCCGATGTAATAGTAGTTCCTAACATTTTAATTGAGTGTTTTCACTTGCCCTTTGGAAGATAGTAAAGACAAAGATTTTCAGAGGTTTCTGGTCCAGGCTCGCATGCATCAAGAGGCACAAGAGAAAATTCAGTTCCAGTTATATTTCATGAGAGGTTGAAACAAGAAAGGAAATCTGGACACACAAGATGCTGAAGGGCTCCAGGTCAATGGGCTATCCAGTGAGCCCAGACATTAATCTGAGAAACACTGATTCCTACTAATCTCCAGCTATATCAGAACTGTGGCATTGAAGCACAGTACTGCACTCAGACATCAAGACTAGCTGAGGCTCAAAAGAAAGTGGGCAAGACAGCACAACACTTCACATTACATCCAGACAAATAAACAACACCAATACACAGTGACAAAGTTTTGCATGTTTTCAAGTTGAAACTACCACAGCATTCAATGCAACATCTATATCTAGCATATCTAATACAGGCAGATTTCTGCTTTTCATGACTACTAGATATTTCAAAACTATTGACAGGCAAAGAAGTATTTCTGACACGTAGTCACTGTTATAATGTAGGAAACGTGGAAACCAATTTGCACACAGCAAATTCCCACAGAAAGCAATGCAATACTGACTGGTTCATCTGGTAACTATTGGTAGGACACTGGAGACAACTCCCTATTGCTTCAAAAAATCACCACAGATTTGTTTCAAACCAGCTGAAACTAACTTAATGTTTGGGGAAGATGATGGCCCAGTGGTATTATCACTGGACTGTTAATCCAGAGACCCAGTAATATTTTGGGGACATGGGCTTGAGTCCTACCACGGTATCTGATGGAATTTGAATTCAATTTTTAAAAAAAATCTGAAATTAAGTGTCTAATGATGACCATGAAACCATTGTCGATTATTAGAAAAATCCATCTGGTTCACTAATGTTGTTTAGGGAAGGAAGCTGCCATTCTTACTTGGTCTGGAGTCACATGTAGGCCTACACATGTAGTCTGGTCTACATGTGACTCCAGATCCACAGCAATGTGACTGACATTTAACTGCCCTCGGGGCAATTAGGGATGGGTAATAAATACTGGCCTAGGGATGTCCTCATCCTATGAATGAATTGTAAAAAAATGTCTCAAAGACAGCACCTCCAAACTGTGTAGCATTTCTTCAGTACTGTACTGGAGTGGCGGTTTTGATTTTTGTGTTAAGGCCCAAGAGGAGAACTTGAACTGAGAACTTGTGACTCTGAAGCAAGAATAGCACCATCTGAGCCACAGCCACCATTCTTAACTATAGCATTTCAAATGAATTGAGAAGTTGAGTTGCTTTATGGAAATATATAACAACGCAGAGAAGTAGTCTTGAGGAAATAGCAGAATCTACTATCTACACACAATGTCCTGGTAAAACAGACAGGCTTTTTAGAAGGCTGGCAGGAAACAGTTTGGAGCAAATAGGATGTAATAAGAAATTACTGAAATGTAATTAAATGTGATTGCACATTGATGATAGACTCAAATTTATTGAATCTCATTTACCTCCATCATTTATCTTTTAGATTGCTTTAATATCTCATGTTGACAACCAAGTGTAATGTACTGTTTAATGGCCTATACAAATCATTGGATCGAGCTGACCCTTCGACTGTGAAGCATCAAGGTCTTCCAAGTTTTTATTTCTGCTTTTTATCTCAGCAGATTCAGACAATCTGTAGCATCTAGCAAATGATCCGTAGATTAAAAATTAGTTATTTGTCCAGGACGCAGATCAGGACAAGGAGACGGGAAAATAATATCCTGAAAATGGAGATGCCACTGAGTACAAATCATTTACTGATAAGTGATAATCAATAATATGATAGGAACAAAACGAAGTTGCTGGAAAAACTCAGCAGGTCTGTGAAGGAAAAAACAGAGTTCACGTTTCGGGTCCAGTGACCCTTCCTCAGAATAATATGATAGGTCTCCTAGGATACAGAGAAGGCGTGCAAGCAGAGGATTATGGGTTGGTAGTGATAAAGAGAATACATTTTGTACATCAGTTCATCACTTGCAGAACCACCTCTAGATCTGTAGATTCTGCAGCCAGCTGCCATATTCTGACCAGAGATAAAATGGGGACAGTAGATCAGTACAGGCAGTCCCTTGGGTGCGAACAGTTTCTGTTCTTGAGGCAATCTGTAATTTGATTGGTCTGCAAGTCAGATCAGAATGAACATAGGACAATATAAAATAGCCATTCACTAAATAGAAGGGATATGTCACATTTTTAAACTTAATATAAATACATCCCTGTATGAGATTGCGTCTGTAAGTTCGAGCATTCATAAGTCAGACGATCAGAAGTTGGGGACCTCTGTATCTCATAGATGGTTCATGAAATTCAATATTGGGACTATTTCACCTTGTGATTTCAGAATTTACATGCAGAACATGATCCAGTGGTGCTGAGAATGGATATTTTGTGTTAATGGTTTATCATTGAAAGTTTCCTCATCATTTCTTCATCTGTTGAGATAACTATAAACTATGACAGCTGTGGCAATCAGAAACCATCAAATGGAAAGGTGCCTGAGACCAATGTCACATGTTTGTAACTGGACAAACAGTGCTTGCAAAACAATGGGTTTTATTGAATTTTCGATGATGCTGATATTGCCAGTTCCAGCCAAATGCTAAACTGATCTGATATAATAAGCAACTTCCAATCACCCTGGCTGAAAAGATCTGTCAATCCAAACAGAATGGGATGGAGAAAAAAAATCCATCCACTGATTAATATTTATCCAGTGATTAGTGTTTGACTCTTAACACAAAAGGTAAAGTCAATCTACTAAAACATTTCAGTGTGAGACAGCAGCAAGTTTGATCAGAGGGAACATACCTTAAAATTGGGACAAATTGAATGTTACTGATTTTAATGGAATTAATTCATTTTATCATTAAAGGAATTGTGAGCAAGCGCTAATAACCAAATTCAAGATAGAAGATTTCTATTTTCATTTGTGTAGACTAAATTATAAAGATTAATTCAATCAGGATCAGAAGGTAGCCAGTTTGTTATTTTCTCAACACTTCAACACTTATTATAACTATCATCTTACTGGTCTTCACGGTCCAGGCAGGTAGGCCGCAGGTCACTGAAAGTAGGCAATAGAATTTGACCCACACATATGTGTCCCTATTTCTGGCCTGTGCACTCTTCACTATGATGGATCCTCCACTGGGTTTATGGGATCATACGACTCATTCCCAGTTGTTTCATCATCTAGTCAATTGAAAGGCTGGGGAAGGAGTGAAGATACATACAGGCACTAGATAACCACCAAGCCAGTGTACCAATACATGTAGAGTTTAGTTCTGTCAATAATGCATGCAGGAGGGGAGGTGATGGCCTCGTGGTATTATCACTGGACTGTTAATCCAGAAACCAGATAATGTTCTGGGGAACTGAGTTTGAATCCTGCTATGGCAGATGATGGAATTTAAATTCAATAAAATATCTGGAATTAAGAATCTAATAATGACCATGACACCATTGCCGATTATCAGAAAAACCCATCTGGTTCACTAATTTCCTTTAGGGAAGGAAACTGCCATCCTTACCTGGTCTGGCCTACATGTGACTCCAGACTCACAGCAACGTGGTTGACGCTGAACTGCCCTCTGGGTAATTAGGGATGGGTAATAAATGCTGCCTATCCAGTGACACCCTCATCCCGTTAATGAATAAAGGAAAATAAAATTGGCACTTTGTTTCATTCATTCATGTGAGTACTTGCCAGAATTTATTACCTATCTCTAACTGCCCTTGAGAAGGTGATGTTGAGCCATCATCTTTACAACTGAGGGGCTTGCAAGA